ATGTTGTGTGTCGTGTGATATATATACTGCTCACCTCACTCTCTATATACTAGTCTATATATATATGCTGGTCTATAGCTCAAAATGAGCAAAATTTCCCAACACATTAATATATATATATGATGGCCGAGAGAAATTGATGAAGAAGAGGTGGAAGGGCACTTGGCTTGTTCTAAAACTACTAATCTTGCTTAGTAATAGACTAAGATGCTTAGTCACCACTTAGCTTCTCAAATAATGCCACCACATGCTTGATATAAAGGAAGAAATGATCATGACTTGAAATAAAATGCTCACGGCATTTTTGGCACAATTTGGAACGAAAATGGGAACATATATCCCACTCACGGCATTTATTAACATAACCATGATTAATGATTATTAAGCTCAATTAATAAGCTTAATTAACTAGCTTAAGATTACCTAACTATTTAATATTACATGATATTTGATTAACTCGGTATTTAAATAACAAAATTAATCCGATCATAAAGGTGATGTTCGAAAATTAATTCGAATATTTATGACTTGAATGATTAATCCAAATATCGACATTTCGGATAATTTGTCAACTTAGCCTATTAATTCCGAACACATTAATTAAATAAGTTGGAATTAAATCCTGAAAACTCATTCGGTTACTGAAACAATTAAACCGAATACTTTTTCGACTAATAGTCTAACTTGGAATATAACTAACTGATTAACCTGAACTTGAACATGAACATGATTATTAACAAAGGCTAGCTAAAAACTAAAAGCTAGTATTTTTCTTTATTAATAAAATACGGGGTGTTACACTAGTAAAGGAAGTTCCAATTCAGCCGATCGAAGGCTTTCTCCAAGTCTATTTTGATCATGAGGTTAGAGGGAGAGGCAGGGAAGTCGTGGACGACCTCTTAAGCAGTCAAGATATTGTCGGTGATGAGTCTGCCTTTGATGAAGGCCGATTGTTCGGGGCAAATCAAAGTGGGGAGGAGGCGGCTGAGTCTAAGGCTTAGCATATTGGAGAGGATCTTGTAAGAGGTGTTGTAGAGGCTGATGGGACGAAAATCTTTCCAAGAGTGATGAGACGGAGTTTTGGGGATAAGGGATACGGTGGTGGCGGTGTAGGCTAAAGGGAGGGGGGTGCCTTGAAAGAAGTCAGAGGTTTCTTCCAAGTCGTCGTCTGCAATAATGTCCCAGCAAGTTTTATAAAAGGTGGAGTTGAACCCATCCGGGCCGGCATCACTGTTGTCGTCCATGTCGAAGACCACCGACTAGATTTCGTCGATGGTAGGGGGAACAGAGGAATGAGTTGTCGGCTTCAGAGACAACTGAGGGGATGATCCCTGGGTCGGGGTCATCCAGAATGGGACTGGAATCAGAGAACAGAGAGGAGAAGAATTCAACAGTGGATTTTTGAATGTGAATGGGATCTGAAATTAAGGAGCCTTGGTCAGTAATATTGTGAATGTTGGATTTATGACGATGCTTTTAGATTAGGTCATGAAAGAATTTGGTGTTGCGTTCACCTTCCAAGTTCCACTTGAGGTTAGTTTTCTGTTTACAGAAATCTTCCTCCATGGAGAGGGTGCGGTTTAAGATAGCGTTGAGACACTTGAGGTTGAGGAGGTTGGTAGGAGAGGGGTCAAGGTAAAAAATGTTCTAGGCTTCGGAGGCTTCAGACTGGGCTTGGGCGAAGCAGGCAAAAATGTTCCCGAAGGTGGTCCTGTTCCAAGATTGGAGAGCACACTTAAGCCTGCCAAGCTTATGAAGAAGCTTGTTAAGGCCGAAAGAAGGTGATGGGATGAACCAAGAGTCTTTGACTACTTGGATAAAAAGGTGATGCCGACTCCACATATTTTGAAAATGGAAGGAGGATTTAGGTTTGACAAAAAGAGGGCTAAATTTACAGAGAAGAACGTTATGATCGGAATGGTGACGAGCGAGGTGCGTGACATAGGAGGAAGGGAAAAAGGGGAACCATGAAGGGGAGAAAAGAATCCGGTCAATTCTATGCCAGATAGAGTTTCTATACCAGGTGAAAGGAGGTCCCGAGTAGCCACCATCCGAGAGATGGCAGTCTAGGAGTGCGTCCTGGAAATCCTCCAATTCTGATTGAATTGGTAGGGCTCCACCTTTCTTTTCGTGCAGGTGAAGCACGATGTTGAAATCGCCTCCGACCATCCAAGGAAGAGAATTGTCAGCGACATCGAGAAGGTCAGCCCAAAGATCTTGGCGAGGGAGATGGGAGTGTTCTTCATAGACGATGAAAAGCAAGAATGGAGTGGGAGAGAGAGGTGAAGAAACTTTAACGTGAAGAAGTTGACGGGAAGAGGGAAGAATTTGAATTTGGCAATTATGGTCACATAAGAGCCAAATGTGATTACTGGCGTTTTGGACGACTTGTTGGAAGTTAAACAATCTACATAAGTATTTTGGGTCGAGGGAAATCTTTGGTTCGATGAGGGCGAGAAGGTTAAGTTTGTGGTCTTTAATGAGAGTTTTGGTCATCTTTTTGGCGAGGCTATTACCGATGCCCCGTATGTTCCAAATAAGAGTATTAATCATTTTTTGCGAGTGTGACATGCGCTACAACACACATTAGGTTTTTTCCTGGGGGAGGAGGAGTGGTAAGAAGACGAGTTAAGAGAAGTAGAAGGGAGGGCGATGACCATCTCCCGAAAAGAGGGGGAAGGAAGCGGTTCCGCGGCTTGGGGAGGGGGGCTAGAAGGAATGGCTGGAGAAGAGGGGAAGGGGATGACCGAAGGGGGAAGGAGAGGGGGATCAGTCGAGGAGGATGGAATGAGAGAGGCGGGAATGGGAGAGGGTGAAGCCAAGGGGTGGTTGCCGATGACGGGAGAAGGAGGGGGATGGGAGATTTTGTTCTTGCCTTTTTCGAGTTTGGCAGGCCTGAGGCTCTTATTCTTAATGTAACATATGGCTATTGTGGTAGGAGTGATGGCAATACTTAGGCATTTTCTCATATTCTACTTGGAGAGTGACTTGAGTTTCTTCAAATTGAACTATGAGTTTCTCCAAGTTCACTTTATACTTCAACATATTGCACTTTATAAAACAACTCGTTGCACTTTAGAAAACAACACGCTACACTTTATAACGACTATCATATTGCACACTAGAGATCAAAACCGACCGAATTCAAAATTTTCAACCAAATATAATATAAAAATTATAACAATATATAAAATACAATTTTAATGTAAATACAAATTATTTCGATTATTTAAGACAATTCAGTTAACCGAACAGAACAAACCAATTAATTATTTTTATTTTCAATTTGATTTCGGACAACAGTTCAATTGGTCCAATATGCACAACACCAACACCGTGCATCACAGTGAAGGGCGAAGATTGAACATTATATTTCTTTTACATATATGCAAATTTTTTTAATAAAAAACTACTATAAAAGATCGAATAAAAAAATATGATAAATAATATAATTTATATCAGTTATATTTTGTTATTTACGTTAACCGACAAATTAAACATATTATGTCAAGATTTTAACGTCAACCGGTTATCAATATTGTACATTTTGTTGTGCGTTGACATATTGATATTTTTTAATTTTTAATGTGCATATATACACACGATATTGTGTAAATTAATTATCGTTGTTGTGCATTGCATCTCACATAATTGTGCCATTATTAATTTTTTAATAAATTACATATTTAATTCATCAATTAAAATTAACTATATTAAAATCTTTAGAAAAACTAATATGCATATTCATTCACATATTATATAATTTTTTTTTTTTACAATATATCACATCAATTAGTTTTCTAATAAAATGAATATTTAAACTGCTAATCATATTACAATATATATGAAGTTTCTTACAATTACATATTTAATAAGGACCTAATTTCATTAATCCATCAATGACATAATTCTAATTTAGAACATTGTCCCAACTCCCAAATATTCCCAAATCCACAAATTGTCCCAACACCCATTTATGATCCTTCCATGCGGAGGCACTCAAATTGACCGGAACTTGGAAACTTGGAAACTTGGAATCCTTCATCGGAGATGACGCACGACCGACTCAAGGCGGTCAGAACTTGGAAACCCGACGGTGACAGAGGCGCTGCTGGTTCTCACTGCTGGAGACATGGCGGCTTCACGCGAGGTGTTTAACGGAGGATCTGGAGGTTAGTGACGGAGTCTTGCGCCCGGATGTCGACGGCGAGGTAGGTATGGCGGCGATGGCAGGTTGCGGTGGTGGTCGGGGTGGAGCTGTGGCATCATTATAAAGTGGATGTGGCGGCAGTGACAGGTGCTAAAGATGTTGTTGGTGGAAGTGGAAGGCGACCGCCGGCGTAGGGCGACGCTGGGTAGAGGCGGGCGGCAAGGGGCGGAGGCGGGGAGAACTGGGCGGAGGTTGTCGGATCAGGGAACAAGAGGAAGGAATTGCAGAAATCACCGGACAAGGCTTAAAAGGAGAATAATTACCATTCCACCCTTATTTGTTGGTCAAATATGTATATTTAACCATGAATTGTACATTTATTTAAAAAAATGCCACAACATGTTTGACTGGTATATTTTAAATTGACTTGATCATAGTCATTCATATGTTGGATCTAATGGTATAGATTCATTCTTATTTCTTCACTATGTATCATTTTCATATGATCATTTCTCTCTCTCTCTCTTCATATGATCATTTCTCTCTCTCTCTCTCTCTCTCTCTCTTTAT